AAGGCAGACTCTTAATGACTGAGCCACCCAGGCGCCCCTGGGGGGCTGTGTTCTAATGGGTGGAGAGGGATGGGCGGATGGCTAAGCATCTGACAAAGCAGGTACGGTCACATGTTCACACTCGCAGAATCTAGGGAGTGGGTCGGGTCAGGTGCCCAAGCATGCGTGCCAATCCCGACACTCCAGTCATCTTTGAAAGTGGAAGGCTCTCAACATGGCTCTTGGCCTCACTCACCAGCCGATGCTCTCTGGCCCCTTCTGTCCTCAGGCTCCGTTTTTTCCTCCAACAGTGACACTCAGGGCTCCGTGACATCTTGAGACATCATCCAGCTCTCTGCAGGGGCCCCCACAGCCTCCACCCACAGCCCCAGTTCCCAGACCACCTCGTCCTTCCCAGTGCCATCTCAGCAAGGGAACTGCCCTCCACAGGGCTGCTCAGACATCCTCTCCGACCCCTCTTCCCTGTCAGCCCTGGGAGGAAGGTTCTAGCCTCCAGTCTGGTCCTTACTTGAACACAGACTCTCCAAGCTCTTCCCTGTGTCTGTAGCAACGCCTTCGAGGCTCTCCAGGACCTGCCAGCCTCCCGGGTCCAGGTGCCGGCTTCTTTCCCCTCACAGGTCCCTGCCCCAGCCAGCTGGGCGCCTCTGCTGGAGCCCAGGGCCGCCCACCACACGCCTGCTAGCTGAATCATCACTGTGGCTCTCAACCCCCGGGCCTCCCCCACATTGCGAGCCATGCAAGTGTTTGCAACCTCGGCCTCAGGATGCTGGATCTTTGATTAGTCTAAGCACGGAACATGAGACTTCAGTGACCCTCTTGCCAGCAACCAACGCAGGGAGGGCTGATGAGACCAGACAGGAAGTGTGCTGAGGAGTTGCCAGGAAGTGTTCCCTCGCTCATGAGGAAATATAGGAGGCGTTCCTTCCCTGCTTCTGCACTTGGCCAGGCGAGATGGAGGCTGCCAGGTGCTCTCATCATCTTGCAATCATGAGGGGACGACCAGCAGTATGAAAGCCGGCCCAAACCCGTGTGACTTTACAGTCCAACTTGACCAACCCAGAAGTGCCCTGTTGACCTTCCCAAGCTGCTGGAGTCCTGTTTAAGCCAGCTAAGTTGGGAGTTTTGAGTTGCAGGTGAAATCAGCCTCACTCAATACGGATGAATGGGAAGAAATTAAAAGACTGCACCCTGAAATGTTGACATCAACTTAGAGCTCACCAGTTTAGCTGGGCAACCCGTGGAAGGGCTCCATCCCTCTGACCTCACCACCTCCCAACCTCCCAGAGGCCTCACCTCCTAACACCGAGGCACTGGGGGGGGGGGGGGAATAGGTGTGTTAACATCCCAGTTTTGAGGAGACACACACATTCAGTCTGTAGTGGTCAGGGGTCCCGTTTCTTCGCATCCCTAGCAGCCAGCCCACTGCCCTGCTTGTTCACCACTGGCCCCTTCCGTGGGCTGTGCAGGGGTGGGGCCGTGGAGCGCACCACTGTAACTCTGAACGCTGACACTGGCCCAAAGCGGGGGCCCGGGAACCGTGGGAGGCAGGTGCCAACGGCTAAGTAAAGTGTAGGCTGTTTGGAGGCCCCAATCCCCCAGCATCATCACGAATGTCACCCAGGGGCCGGCCACTGAGAACAGATCCAGGTTTTGTCATTCCCGGGGAGAGGGATGGTGGGGGCAGCACAGAGAGGCAAGACTGCAGGAGTTTTAAAATAACTGCATCCTTTAATGGCAGTAATACAATTATTGGATTAAGAGACCACAGGAGAAAGGGCAGGTGACATTTCTGGAAGACAGATAAGGAGTACAAAAAGGGGGCTGGGACAGTCATGCGATGATCATTGTAAAAATACAGTACGTTATATACATATTTGCACCATCAACTCTCAACTCTGAAGTAGTATTTACACTTTTGTTACAATCCTGGTTAGAGAACATTTTGTTTTTAAAAGCTTGGCCTGATGGCAAATGAAAATTTCGGGGGAATTCATAGTCCCATGAGGTTCTTAGGCTGAATATTCCGACAGGAGGGTTCCAGCTTCTATTTCATCCACAGATTTCGGTTTTAAAAAAGTATTTAATTTTGCTTTTACAAAAGAAAATTCTCAAAGGAGGGAGAAAAAAAAACAAACAAACCCATAGCCACACTGTGTATTCTTACTTATTTTTACAAACACCAAGGGCTGCAGCCCTTCGCTTCAAGGCCAACACTGGTGGCTGAAGAAAAATCTCACTAATGATTGCTTAAAAACAACAAAAACAAAAAAGAGACAAACCAAACCAACCTGATCACGGCGCACTGACCCTGTGGGCTGCCTTCTCCCGCCCTAGCTTCTGGCCCCAAACTCAATGACTTTTTTCTTTTTTCCAGGGAGAGGGGTTTGGTATAGGAGCCTCATTCACCTCCCACCCCAAGGAGGTGGGAGGGGAAACCCTTTGGCTGGGTCATCAGGTTTCCTCATTATTAGCAAGGAATAGGTGGGGGCCTTAAGCAAGGCAGGTGGGGTGAATGGGATGAGAAGAAAAAGGCAAGAGACTGCCAGCATGTGCTTACACACAGGTGGGAAGGACCCCCGAGCCATGGGCTGGTCTCCCCAGGCCACCTCCACAGGGTGGGCCTTCTCTGGACCTCAGCCAGGGTCCTGGGGCAAGTGGTGGGAGCCCAGTGCAGACGTCTCTGCTCCCATCCCGGCTCAGCCGGAGGAGGGGAGCATGATGCAGGTTTCTGGTTCCGCACCCTCCACCTGCAAGCGGGGTTCCTGCTGGGCCCTCTCCTGGAGAGGGCCCGGCAGCCCCCACCCTGCCCTGGCTAGTCTCCTGCCCTTTCCTCAAGCCCCCAAAATCCAACACTGTGACATACCTCTGAACCCATGCACCTGTCAGCTGAGAAGAAAACCGCACACATCAAAACCACGGGCCCTAAGTTAGACAAGGTGCAAGGAGGTTCAAAGCAAGCAGAGAGCATGAACACTTTGCCAAGAACCACCTGGGGCTCTGTCGGGAGCCTGGTGGAGTGGCCACACCACGGATCCTTGAGCTATCCCCTAAGGGGCTGGGACCAGCACACTGGGTGCTCTGGCTCCTGAGGACCAGGAAAGACCCCCAGCCTGAGGGGAGGAGGCGTGGCCACGGCAGGACGGGACAGGACAGGGGCTAATACTGACAGAAAACACGCGGAGGCTGCCTCCTGGAGGCAGCTTTTGGGGTATGCCGCCCCACACCAGCCCTGCCACCTCCAGGTCCATCTCTCACCCTGGAGTCTTCTGATGTGGGCGGAGGGTGTGGGTCTGAGGACGAACTCTGGACGGAGGGCGGCAGGGAGGCCAGTGTGCGAATCCGGAGACAGGAGCAGATGGGGCTCTGCTTCTCCCGGCCCAGGCAGCTTCCGAGGGCTCTCTGCTTTTCTTTCAAATTGTCTCCTTCCTTCGGTCTCTGAAGCAGGTCGTCAGGGCCTGCCCCCTGCAGAAGTGATGGGGTTCTAGAAACACTTGGACCTGCTTCCATGCAGGGCCTGACCACTGTCTCGGCTTCATCTCTCCTCGCTCATGTGGGGTGAGCAGCATTCAGTGCCTTCGGATACCTACTGTTCCCTTTGTCCTCGGGGGTGGGCAGGGGGCGGAGGAGGGGCCAAGCTTTGCCCAGAAAACCCACCGGACCCCCAGCCACCAGACTGGGGCTCCAGCTTTTAGAGAGTCCCTGATAACTGAGCCTGGCCAGAGGAAGTGCCAGCTGGGGCTGAGGCCCAGGGGACTCACAACTGTTCACGTGCAGAAGGAGGTTTTCTTGGCGGGAGCCTGGGAGTCCTGCAGCACTGACCAGAACGGACTGAAAATGGTTATATACAATTTATATGTTGTAACGAAAGTACTACTAAAAAAGAGAAAAAGAGAGAGAGAAGAGAGAGAGAGACACATGGAGAGAGAAAACAAAATAAGGAAAAAAAAAAACACCCAGAGCCCCCCTCCCCCCAAGTTCCCAACTCTGGTTGCTGCCCTTAAATATTGCCCTGGGAAGGGTGGGGTGCAGGGAGCGCTTGACTCCAGCTTAACACTACTGGCAAAAGGGGGAGGCAGTGGGGTCAAAGCCTTTAAAAACATCTTTCAGGGACCCCGCGTCCTGCTCGCCCTCGCGGGCTGGGCTGTTGCCGGCAAATGGGCTCCCAGAGCCCGTCTTGGGCGTCTGTTTCACAGTCCCAAAGAGGGTGGGCACGGGCAGGTTGTGCACGCCAGGCTGGGGCAAGGCGCCCTCTGGTGTTGGGGCGCCCGGGGTAGCGGTGGGGGCTGCCGCGACCTTGGGCCGGGGCCGGTTATAACTGTTGTATCTGTCTGTGGCCGTGGCAGCGGCCCCATCCGCAGAGGACTTCGCAGATTCCGGCTGTTCCAGGGCGGACTTGCGGACGAATGGGGGCTCCTTGGCCTTGGCGGCTGAGCTCTTGCCATTGCCCTCGGGGCCCTTGGGCTGGGCGCCCACGTCGGCGGCCGGCTCTGCAGTTTTGCCACCTGCGTTGGGAGTCCTGGGGTCGTACAGGCTGATGCCACTCAGCACGCTGCTCTGCCCACTCCCGCTGCCCTGGCCCAGCCCGCCGGCAGCCAGCACTCGGGGGTCATAGGGGGCCGTGGCTGGTGGGGAGGACTCCCCGCTGGGGCTGCCGGCTGGAGAGGATGCTTCGGTGGGGCCAGGCTTGGCAGCCCGGGAGGAGGCAGTGGAGTCTGCTGGTTTCTGAAGCCGAGGGTCGGTAGGTGCCTTCCGCACCCGTGGGTCACTAGGCTTGTCGCTGGAGCCAGGGGCCGCTGAGGGGCCCGTGGCATTGACCGTCTTAAGGATGCGAGAGAGGAGCTCAAAGTCAGGCAGGTTGGAGCCAGATGCGCCGGGCTCTGTGGAGGTGCCCAGGCGCTGTCGGGGGTTGGGAGGCCCCGTGGCAGTGGCACGGTGCAGCCTGGGATCCAGGGTGGGCATGGACTGCAGGGCCGCAGGGACAGGGGGCACCGCGTCCTGCTTGGGGATGGGCAGGGGGATCAGGTCCTCGGGGTTCCACAGCACGGTGCGGGCGAAGCTTGGCTTGCTCAGGGTCACATCTTTCTTGATGTGGCTGAACTGCTGCAGCTGTGATCTCGGGTCCCGCAGCGGGTGCCCGGGGAGAGGGTCCAGGGGAATGGTCATGGCCTTCTCCCGCAGGGCCCGCTCCCCTTCCTCCTCTTCTGTAGGGGGTGGTCCAGACCCCTTGGAGCCGCTGGGGCCTGCAGGGTTGGAATGAAGGCTGCCTTCAGGTTTGGGGGTGGGCAGGGAGCGGGCCAGCCGAGGGTCGGAGGGCCCTGTGTCTCCTGGGCCAGACCCGCTGGAAGCCTCGGCGTGGCGGGTGAGTCTGGGGTCCCGGCTGAGGCGAGGGTCAGCCAGCCGGCTTCCTGTGGGGTGTCCTTTTTGGAGGCGGGGATCCCCCAGCCCACTGTTGCTCGGGTCCCCGACGGAAGCCTGGGGTCTGCTAGACGTCTGCTGTCTCAAGGTCTTAAGGATGGAAGTGACGCTGTTCCCACCCTCATCCTCATCACTCGAGTACCAGTTTCCAGTGTCACCTAAGAAAGAACAGAGAGGCAGAGGAACATGAGTGACCATCTGCCACTAGCCCTCTTGGACCCCCACAGCAGCCCACTGGGTGAATGGCTCCTCTGCCTCTTACCTCAGAGAACCTGTTTCCCCTCCCTCCGCGGGCTGCCATGAACGGCCACTGAGCTCACGTGGGCTGAGCTGCCAGGCCTGGCAGGTCACCGGCTAATGTTTCTAGACCTTTCCCCGTGTGCCAGCACTGCTCTAAGTGCTTTGTCTTACTCTCACGACCACCTGGGAGGCAGTGCTGTTATCATGCCCGTTTGACAGACGAGAAAGCGGAGGTGTGGACAGCGCCATGAGATGGGGGGCAGAGCAGGGACTGAGCTCAGGGTCCTAGCCCAGGGCTCTGCCACCTCGTCCTCACCCCCTGTGGCCTGAGGTCCCACCATGGCAGGCCCAGCTCTGGGCACCTGGGAGCAGCAACCACTGACTCCGCTCTCACTGAGCTCGGGGCTCCCAGACACCGGCCCCCAGGCCCCTCGCAGCGTTACCATGTCCCGGGGAAGGGCAGTCACCGGCTGGGAAGAGGCGGAGCCGGGTGGGCCAACTCAGAAACTGGCCAAGGTCCAACCTTCTAGGCAGGTGAAACCAGAGCCACCAAGGGAGGGCGCTGTCCCCTCTTCCCACTGTCCCCACCTGCTCCAGGGCTCCTACAAGGGCCACCCGTGGCCTCCGGCTCCTGGTTCTAGACACCATTTGTCCGCCCCATTTCCTCCTGGGCAGGATGCCATCAGATCCACTGTGTGGCACCGAGCGACCTGGCAGCTGGGACTGTTGATTATTACTGGTTTATGTCAGCGACTAGCTGTCATCTGCTGACTTCCTGAGAACATGGTCTAGGGAAAGGGGAGCTGTGAGCATCTCCTTTGAGCCTCCTCTGTAAGGGCGCAGAAGGGAAATCCTGCTGGCTGCTGTCTCCTCCAGGGACCAGCCCACCTCCCTCCTCTATGGGATCAGGGTCTCTCTTGACCCCCAAAGACACCAGAGGGCAGCCCTGACTTCCAATTTTCTCATGGACAAGCAATGCAGCAGCCCCAGCCTGGCTTCATGGCCCTGGGCAAGGGTCCTCCCTGGCCACAGGCTCCTTTCCGACATAAAACCCCACCTAGGCATTCCCCACCTCTCCACTGCACAGTGGCCTGGGGGGCCTGTGCCTGTCAGGGGAAGCCCCTGCCCCTGGGGAGGACACATGCCTTCCTCATTCTCCCGGTCCTGCTTGCTGCTCTCAGCCAGCCTCCTCGCTCTCTCCTCCTCCTCCTGCTGCTTCTGCTGGATCCTCAGGTACAGGGCCCTCTGGGCTGAGGGCAGGAAGTCGGGGACACCGGCGCCCGGCTTCGGCCGGCCTGGGGGCCCTCCCTCAGAGAAGCTGTCGGGCTCCAGAGGGTGCTCGGGGAAGAGGTGCTCCCCAGGCTCCCCCGGCAGCTCTTCGTAGTGCCCGTAGTCCTCTGTGGCAGGGAAGAACCGAGGGTTCATGTCGGGAAGGGCCTCACGGCGCCAACTCCAACCCCCCTGTGCGCCCTTCACTGGTGAACCACCCCCCAGTGGTGATGGGTGACGATGTGCAGCCCGTCCCTTCCTACCCTCCCCAGGACGGGCCCCACAGAAAGCCCAACAGCAGGGAACGGAGTGGCCAACGAGGGTATCCCCACGCAGGATGCAGCCACTGAAAATGGGGTTCACAGCACGATTTAGTGATGTGGGCAAATGCTCATGAAGTGAAAACAGGACGCAACGTCATACAGATGTTTATAAAATGCAAAGAAAAGGCTTTGAAGACAGACAGAAAACAGTCCCTCTAGGAATGAGATTCGGGAGAGAGGGCTGAAGCATCTTTCACTTTTGACCCCACATGCTTCTGATTTCTTCTCATTACTGGCAATGAGCGTTCATTTTACGGTTTCTTTGAAATAACCAGAAAAGAAAAACACTGTGACATCTCATAGTGAGCTCGTAATACGAGCTCAACCACGGTAAACAAGACTTATAAACAGAAGGAAATAACCAAACTGTGGCTATGGCCACACGTCTAGCCAGAGGCTCCTGGCTGATTCCTTCTCCTCCCTCCTTTACAGGTTCCCAAGTTCCGCACCCGTTCCTGAGCATGCTGCTGCATTTAAGGGCGGGGGCGGGGGGCCGCTCCTCCTACACGGCGTCTAGGAAGCACAAGGCTGAAGGGTCTGCCTTCACTCCTGAGGGCGGGCAGGTGCCTGGCATCAGCTGCTGACCTCCCCAAACTCCACCCACATCCAAGCCAAGGTCGGGGAGCGGCCACTGCTGCACGTGGAGACTGCGCGTGCGCGCGTTGAGACAGACGATATCTGGTCAGCACTGCCCCCCCCTCCCAACAGGATGTTGTGAGGAAATGCTCCGTATCTGCACTGGGCGACTCGGCCACCACTATCCTCCATGGGGCTACTGCGCGTCTGAAGGTGGCCAGTGTCGTAATTTAAGTTAAAGAGTGAAAATGATTTGTAAATATTTCATCCACGAAGCACATAAAGCGGAAAGTGAAAGGTCACCTCCTCCTAGCCCCTGAACTTCGGGGACACGTGAACTTGGTGAGCAAGCCTCCGCTATGCGGCGCCCCAGCGCGGAGCTGAGCACGCTCCGCGAACAACGGCCCCAGGCCCCCCTGCACGGTCCAGAGCATATTCCTCGAAGGCTGCACGACTGTGAACACAGTAAAAACCACTGAGCGATCCTGATACGGGAATTAGAGCCAATTACTCTAGAGATGCCTACTGTTAACAGCTTCAAGGACGTGCTTTTCCTCCACACCCAGACCTTTTTCCACGACATTTTACATACATTTAGGAAAGACAGGGGGACCATGGGAACCACGGCACCCCCTCTCACACAGCCTGCCTTCCTCACTTGAGAACACGTCACCTCTGTCTCTAAAGCTCCTGCTCCTTGCCCCAAACACCTGCTCTCATGGTGCCGACACCACCCAGACGCCACCCACTCCCAGGTAGTCTCCCTGAAGCCCCTCCAGATTTCCACACGGCTGTCAAATGGGAGTCTTTTGCTTAACAGGGTGGCCAAAGCAGGGGTGCTCCCCAGCCAACTGCAACCTGCCTCTCTCCAGCAGGACTTCCCGGCAAGGGGACAGCGGGAGCCTCCACCCAGTGACTCTGCCCCATCTGCTCCTTCCCGCCTTAGGACGCGTGTACGAGGAGTACGCTGGCCCCCGGCGCCATCTCCACACCACAAAGCCCGGCCCTGCTTCCTCCTGCCCCGTCGCAGCCGCCTCTGCCCAGAAGACTCCACAGCGCCCCGGAAGCTTCCTGAATCCACTGCAGCCCACTATCCGTCACCCTCGAATGCCTCTGCCTGTACCCTACCATTCTTCCCACGAGGCCACCTCGCCGGGGCTGTCCAAGTCCCACGCAGGGACTTCTCTCCCCCGCCTTCCCTCTCCAAGCCACACAGCCGCCTCTGCTCTTCTCACCTGAGCCGCCGGGCGGGAGGCTCTGCACCTTGGCCTCCTCGCCTTCACAGCCCTTCTCAAGGGGGCCTCTGCTGACTGTCCCCCCGCGGTACCGACCCTCTGCCACAAACACTCCGCCTGAGGTTCTCGAGAAATGATCAATGCTGAAACGAGCTTATGCGCTCACTTACGCGTTTCCGTCTGGCTCCCTCAACTAGTGTGGCTGAGGCGAGGCGCAAGGCTGCACAGGACCTCCCCGGCTGCGGCACGGTCGGCCGACCACCCTGACCGGCACATGTCTGAGTCGTTACCAACCCACGTTCTTGTTTGAATAAGGAAGGAAGGAAAGAAGGAAGGAAGACGGTCAGTCGTGGGGACAGAACAAGCAGAGGCACAAGGCCGACACTGGCAGCTCCAAGCTGAGAACCGTCTGGAAGGAGGCCGCTCTGGAGAGGGTGCTTCCGCCTCAGAGCCCAGCACCACTCTACACCCCGCCCCTCTGACTTCCCATGGTCCCGACTCCAGGCGCACCCAGCAAAATGTGTAAGACGTTAAATAAATTACACCGATACTATCGTGAGACTCCTTTCAACATCAACAGGGTAGCGAACCCCCGTCACTGAAAACGTGCAACCACTCACAGGACAGAGATGGAGCTGGATTCATGCTCTGAAAAGACTCGGACAGAGGAGAAAACCCAACTTTTCCCTACGTTCCCTGGGGCCACTGCAGTGGTTCCCCAGCCCCCCAACCCCGGCCTGCGTACCTGCGTCCCCGATGAGTCCCGGCTCCATCTCCATGCCCTCCTGCTGCTGGTAAAAGTTTTCATAGAAGTTCTGGGATGGCGGGATGGGGGGCATCATTCCAGAATGTGGGGAGTCTCCAGGACCATAGGGCATCATTGGGGGGCCACCGGGTCCCATGGGCGGGCCAGGGTTCATGCCAGGGCCCATCGGCATGTCGGGGTGCATGTCGGGGTGCATGTCGGGATGCATGTCGGGATGCATGTCGGGATGCATGTCAGGATGCATTGGGCCCCCCATTGGCCCCGGGGGGCCCATATTGGGCCCAGGGCCCATCGGCCCTGGGGGTCCTCCGGGTCCAGGGAACCTAGGAGGAAGAAATGGTGCCCATGAGAGGGGCTGCAGAGCAAGAATGGCGGCCATGCTGTTGAGGAGACACAGCCGTGTCCATGTGGTTGGTCCCTGAGGGCTCCAGACCAGGCTCACAGTGACAGGCCCCCGGCACAGGGGAGCCTAGCTAAGGCCAGAGCCACCCCAGCAGCCTGACTCTGGGGGCCCAGGGCACTCACCTCACGCCCAGCTTCTCAGCCAGCTGGCCCGTGGGCCGCACCACGATCTCAAACAAGGAGGGGATCTTCTTGTTGTACATGTCCTGCTGCTGCTGCAGCTGCTGGGGCGACAGTGGCTCGTGCACCGGCATGGGCATCTGGGGGGGCCC